CTTCCATCCCCACGTCTTCCCTTCTGCTCACGACGCCCAAACGTGGGCTTCTTTCTGGCTCACCTCTCCCGAGGCCAGAGCTGTGAGTCCCCAGCTGGGGGTCACTCCCCCCCGCGCCCCGTCCCCGCAGGCCTGTCTCCCGCGCCTCCCCACACGGGCTCCGGCCTCCTCGGCTCCCATCCCGACCAGGGCTGGGCGGGTTGTTTGAACCACAATCCGGCCTGGCCCTGACTCGGGGCGCCCGAGGGGCATCTGCTCGGACCGAGTTCAGTCTGTCCTTGCAGGAGCTACCTGGAGGGGAGCCTGCTGGCGAGCGGGGCCCTGATGGGGGCGGAGGAGCTGGCCCGGTACTTCCCCGACCGCACCCTGGCCCTCTTTGTGGCCACGTGGAACATGCAGGGCCAGAAGGTGAGCGGGCGCCCATGCGTCTCGGGATGCGGCCGGGGTTCCTGCCTGTTCCTTCTGGCCTGAGCCACACCCAGGATGCCTCCTGCCAGTGCCCCCTCCCCCGCCCCCGCTTCAGTGACTGGGCAGCCCCTCTCGTTAGAGCGATTTCAGGCGGACAGCACATTGGAGAGGAAGGCCAGCCTCTCCCTGAGGCCTCCCCCAGCAGCCTCCCTCTCCCCACGTTGAACCGCTGGCTCAGGTCACCCAGGGCCCCAAGTCTACCTCGGGGTCACTCCTGTTCGCTCCACGGGGCCTGGTGAATGTGGAGGAGGAGACAGGTGCCCAGCTGGTAGCCCCACTGTCCTCAGGGCACCACCGTCCCGTCCACAGGGTGTCCCTCTCTCGTCCTGTGCCTGCGGGACTCACAGGGCTAAAGCCAGGTGGCCGTGCGGCCGCAGGGTGGAGTGGCCCGCTGCACCCAGGCCCGGTGTGCACGTGGGGGGCACACACTTAGGGTCACGCTCAGGCCTGGTGTGCACGTGGGGGGCACACACTTAGGGTCACGCTCAGGCCTGGTGTGCACGTGGGGGGCACACTTAGGGTCAGGCTCAGGCCCGGTGTGCACGTGGGGAGCACACACTTAGGGTCACGCTCAGGTCCGGTGTGCACGTGGGGGGCACACTTAGGTCAGGCTCAGGGCCAGACGCAGCTGAGCAGCAGCTGGGGGCACAGCCTGGGGGCGGGTGCAGGCCGGGCCTT